GGACCTTATGCAGTTCCGCAGGGCCTGCAAGATGGAGCTCTTCCACCAGGCCTATGAGTGGGAGCCGCCACAACCACTGCCACCACCGCTTCTTTATTGGGGTAACATCTTCCATCACCCCAGTCTCCCCCCTGTGCGTAAGATGTCGGGAGTTTATTTATGCATCTGTTCGAATTGATTTTAACTTGTTTTAATCTTGTATTTATATTTGGACTTTGTACATTGAATGCACTTTGTGCCTATGTGAGCCACCCTGAGCCCGTTTGCGGGGAGGGCAGGGTATAAATATCATAACACAAAAAATAAATAAAGCAAAACAGTAGCGTAAATGACTAGAATGTGTTGTGCAGACAAAGAAGAAACAAAAAAAAAGCCCTTTATGAAAAAGTGTGTTCCAAAGCCTGGGTTCCCTGTATCATGTGCCCTAGGCGAGGCCAGCTTGTGGCGCCCCCAGGTGATGCCAACCTCCCAGTGGGGCTTGGAAACCTCCCAGAAACAGGCCCCGGGGGGGGCACCAGGCACCACAAGCTAGCCTCGCCCCTGCCCAGGTCCTGGAGCGGGAAGGAGCCTTGCCTCGCCTCCCTTGCTGGCCCACCGTCGAGGGGCTGGCTGGCCAGCCTCACCTTGCCAAGGCAGGCAGCAGCGCCGGCCTTGGCCCTCCCCTGCTGAGCCACTGCCTCCGCAGTCCCGTTCACCAGCTCCCAGCGCCCTCCGTCCATCCTCCTTTGCTATTCAAAGGAGAGGTCTGGTGCAAGGATTTTATCTTCTTGGGACGGAGGACAAACTTCGATGCAAAAGGGGCCAAATGGGATGCTCATGAGATCAGAGCCCCCCCCCCCTGATGTTTGAAGGTCCCCCCACCCCCTCCCCTTTTTTCTGAGCCAACAGGAACAAAGAAGGGCGAGAATGGAGGGAGGAGGAGGAGAGAAGAGAAAACGTGGGGATGATTCCAAGTTTGGGTTATCTGGTCTGCTTGAGACAGCGCTTTCCCCAATGCTATTGATCTCTCTGCACATTTTACCTTCGTGGCCGTCATTTCCAAGAGAGGTTTCTTGTCTGTGTGGAAACTCTCCGTCTCCGGAGCCTGGAACAGGACGGCAGAGATCGTTACGTTTGTCATTTGATTCAGGTGGGACGTGTCCAGTGGGGAGGGGAGGGCCAGGCAGCCATGGGGGCAGCGGCGCCAGAGTGAGCCCGGAGGGGGTGGGAGCGGGCGGGGCAGAGGCTGCCAAGTTGTGAGCAGAGGCTGGCTGAGCAGGGCTTTTGGCAGGGGTGGGACTGGGGCGGTGCAGGGCGCACAGGAACGGCGGCGGACAGCATGGGCTCGCCGTGCTTTGGGGCTTTTGATGGGGGGGAGGGCAGCAGTGCAGTTTGGAGCAACTCACCCATCGTTGCTTCCGCGACCCACACGCTTGAACCCGCCCGACTCCTCCCCTCGCAAACAGCCACCCGGAGGAGCAACTTGGCTGAGGGGCGCTCTCTCGCTGGCCACCCCGCGGACCCCAGTGGGAAGGAGGCAATGCAAAGTTGTGCCCTCCGCTCCCCTCAGCCCAACGAGCCAGGGCGGCTCTGGAGGTTGCCACCGCCGGAGAGGTGCTGGGCTACCAAGCACTCTCCAGCCGAGGCTTTATCTTGCCATCTCAGCCCCCGCACACCAAACAGCTCCCCCCCGCGATGCTGCACCTGGCACCCGCCGCTGCCGCTTCCTCCCATCAGGTCCAGTCTGGTACCCTAAGGTCCGGCCCGCGCTCTAGGCGACTGCCTAGTTTGTCTAGCGGGTGAGCTGGCCCTGCATGTGCCTTCTGTATTTTGGGGCAGATCAAAGAGCAGGTCCTCTCCTTGAAGATCTTAGTATGTAAGTATGAAAGGGAACAGTTCTTCAGATCATAATTCCATTTGGAACCATAATGCATACAACCCAGTCCAAAGCTCCCTGTAAAGGATAACGGATTTCTCCTTTCATTTCAAGAACAGCGCTAAAAGCACCATTTCCATTCCTCTGCACTATAGCTAGAATATTGCGTACATCAGAGTCGCTTTGGAGTTGTTCCTAAAGCAATTATTGGTTATTGCTGCTATCTCCAAATAATCTTCATGGTCTCCTCTTTTTTGATATACAGCACTCTCTTATTTATTTTATTGTAGACTCTCTTCCTATTCATCTGGATGTCATTTGCCATCTATTAGCCGTATTTTCTTCCAACAGTATTCTGTCTCCTTGGAAACAAACTGTTTTCATTACTTGTTCTCTCTAACTCAGGTCTAAAGGTTTATATCTAACATATCTTATGTTTCCTCTTGTTGACTGAATGGCACCTGGGTAAATCTATCATCTAGCAATATCGTGAATAGCTGGACCTCACTTTGTCACATAAATTAGCATTAAGGAGTTTGCTGGATTATGCTAGCCTAGTGGTTATTCTGAGCAACCCTACCTATTACCCCAATGGGAGTTTTCTGCCTATCTGATTTTTATCAGTCACATGCTTTATTATCATTACTGGTTAATAATTATATAGGATCTATGCAATTCAATGCAGAAGTAGTGTATACTACTAGGCAGCTGGCAGAAATTGTGGAGAGAGAGAGCAAGAGAGAGCACACAGCTCCAAACACTGCTCTTAGACGACATTTTTTCACACCGTGGTGGTTCCTATAGGTTATGTCACAATAGATCTGAGAATGGTTAGTCTTTGTGACTTCAATTATTTCCTTTGCTTTGTTAATGGATTATGGCTAAGTGCATAGGGAGGGGGAATCTGCATGGAAGTCTTGCACTGGAAATTAGAGGGGGAACCTGCATGGAAGTCTTGCACTGGAAATTAGTTTCCTTTCTGTTTTTCTGACCTAGTAGCACATTACATTCTTTACACTAAGTTTGGCTCCTCTTCTTA